CTGTTTAGCTTCCCAGCAACAGTGCCAAAAAGTGATCGGGTCTAACCCTACACCACTATAGAGTTGCAAGAGCGATCGATGCACCTTTTACCTGAAAAGGTCGGGATCGAATCCACAGGGAGCTAAGATATGTTTGGAGTTGAGTTCCTATCTAACCTAGCAATGTGCGATGCTATTGTTTGCACTTCCAATCATTCTTGTTTGTTTGTTACTTCTAATTTAATACTAATGATGTACGAAATTAAGGCTAAGTAGATATTTTTGTAGGGTTTTCTAAATGGGTAAAAAGGCACTAGGAAAGTGACTTACTCCTAGGTGAGTATCTAATGGGATCTAGAACTTATGGAAATAATGTTATAGTTGGGATCATGATATAGCCAATGCACGAAGATACTCACTCTATACCTCTCGGTAGTTTGAGTGACTTTGCCCTAATTGGCTTTCTCAAGCCCAATTGGGTGTTCAATTTGTTCAAGCAAAGTTGGCTCAAGTCGTGTATTATTATCTCTAGGTTTAACCCTTTAATTGGGGCTATCAATCTCTTGAATACACCCCAATTCCTTGTTGGCCTGAATTTCCTAGACTTAAGCTCTCTTTCTCAAGAAGAGCCTAAGTTAAAAAGGCACAAATTAGTGTTTGCAACGACCAATACAACATAAAAACATAAATCAGGCCAAATATCAATCACCCATAAAAATCTAAGCCCTAAAATAGGAGACCCATTAAATGCCCACACTAGGGTTGAGCCACAACCCTAGCTAATGAGTTTAGCTACTCATAATTATTGAAGAATCAAAGATTGAGATGAAGAATAACCCATAAAAATTAATTGCAAGATAAAAGTCTAAGATTAATTGTTAAACAAGCTACAAAACTACTCTAAAAAGCAAAAATATGACGTTCACGTGCTCAACTAAGATAAGATTACCTAAAAATCTGAAAAAGAAGTATTTATATATAGCTAAATTTTTTGGACAAAAATGCCCTGACGGAGGTACCGCTGCAGCGGTGAGGCTACCGCGGCCGCATAAAATCAACCGCGATCTTCTAGTTTTAGCTTCAGTTTTGGCTCTCTGAATCTCTCCTCTGCTGACCGCGATAAAAGGACCGCTGTCGCGGTAGGTCCTTCGCGTCCGCGGTTGATTTTCTGTTGTAGTGCTCAGTTGACTCAGCTTTGACTTGTGCAGGTTTCACTTCCTTTTTAGCTGATTTTTGACTTTCTTGTCTCTTTTTGACAAACACTGCAAACAAGCACAATAAGTTAGCTTTTGGGAATACTTGTACACACTTTTAATCTAAAACTCAAGCAAAAAGGAGCATAAAATAGACTAGAATCCCTAGTTATCGGGGCGTTAGCGAGTTATTTATCAGAGTTGCTGTGGAGACTTCAAGGTATACCTGCATGCTCGCTCGCAGGCCTCGAAGTCAACTTCCATTGTTCCTTGCTATTGTTTACTTTATTTTCAAACAGTGTTGTATTTAGTGATTTTCAGTATTCTCTCAGTAGAGCTTATAACTTAGCACTACCGGTTTTGAAAAAAATATATAAATATTGTTTGTTTTAGCTATGTATGTCATTTACTAGTTTATATTTAATGGTTGAATGATTTGAATCTATTAAAAACTCAGCATATGTTGGGCTTATATAGTTCTAGGGACTAGGTGCCGACCATCACAATCCTTAAGATGGGATTTTGGATCATAAAAAATAATTATATTTTTTTGCGAGAAATAAAAATTATCTTCTATTAGTTAATTGATCATATTTGTTTCTTTTAGAATCAACTTGAAATGACGAAAAAAGAAGAATGAACTTGAAATAGATTTACAGAAAGAAAAATCGGAAAAACTCTTAAATCATCAAATGCTATATGTTCTTGGATAATTCGTAAAGGTGGCATAATAATTTGTGGGGCCGAAATGGTACAATTATAAAACTGGAACTAAATTTAAGTTAAATATATGGAATGATGATCGATGTATTTCATGGAGCAAATTTTTTCTTCTATTGAGTTAGCTATATAGGATCAATATTCATCAATCCTGGAGCTTAAATTTTTATTTTGTAATCTTAAATAGCTTTTAATATAATATTTATTTTTATTTAAAAAAATTACTCATTAAAATAAAATACACGTGCGGAGCACCTATTCTAAGGCTAGTTTTACTAAATCAACTCAAACAACTTTAAATAAAAAAAAATGTTGAACCCTTTGGGGTCTGAGTGCGCCTCTAGAAAAGAGCGAGGGAGGGGGCTGTGCTCATTAGAGCAAATGAAGACAGTTCAAAAAAGTGTATTAACGGCAATAGGGGATTCCGAATTTATGTAATGTGAGTTATGAGTTCAAAGTGTAAGTGTTAAAATATATATTTAACTCTATTCACAAATGTGAGTTATGAGTTCAAAGTGTGAGTATTAAAATATATATTTGACTCTATTCACAACAATAATAGCAAATAGATTCAGTATAATTCCATAAGTAAAGTTTAGGGATGATATTATATACACAGACTTTATCGCTATCTTAAAAAGATAGAGAAATTGTTTTTCAATAGACCTGAGATCAAGAAAAGATGCAAAAGAAAAAAAGCAAATAACAAGATAATGACGTGCAGTAAATACAAGATAACATAAAGTAATGCCAACAAGATAACAAGAAAATCGAAGCGAGAGAAACGACAGGTAGTACTAGAAATCTAAAATAGAAAATACATGGCTCAAGACTACCTACTACTTTTCTACTCTAATCTTCGACCTCTACACCACCCTATTAAGGGTTATGTCCTCCGTAAGCTGAAGCAGCATCATGTCCTGCCTAATCACCTCTACTCAGTACTTCTTTGGTCTACCTCTACCTCTCTTCAGCGATGCCAACCTCTCACACTTCCTTACAGGGGCATCTGTGTCCCTCCTTTTCACATGTCCGAACCATCTAAGCCTCGCTTCTCGTATTTTATCCTCCACAAGGGTCATGTCCATCTTGTCCTGAATATCTTCCTTTCTTATGTTATGTAGCTTGGTATGCATGTCCGCATATCCATATCAACATCTTTTATCTTTCGAATATGAGATTTCTTGACTGGCCAACACTTAGTCTCATACAACATAGTCGGCCGAACCACCATTCTGTAGAACTTGCCTTTGAGTTTAGGTGCATTTCACATTCGTATCACACAAAAAACCGAATTGCGAGCCTCTATTTCATCCACTCTACTTCGATATGATGTGTGACATCCTCGTTAATCTCAACATTCCCTTGGATTACTCACAGAAGGTACTTGAAACTTCCTCTTTTTGGGATAAAATTGTGTATCAAACCTCACGTCCACATCCGCATTTGAGATCACATCATTGAATTTGCACATATTTAAATCTATTTATATTTTTTTTGCATATACATATAAAAGTTAAAGTTTAAAACATCCGATTTTATTGAACCTATGAACCACGGTTGGATCCGTTACTAATGTACAGACCAAATGAAAGAGATAACGAAATGTAAAAAAATAGAAATTGGAAACTTGGTGTTCATTTGGTTTGAGGTATAACATAATATAATCATGGTATAAATTTGGTTGCTTTATATATTATTCGGTTTGTACGTTAAAACTTCCATACCTCAATTGGTATATTAGTTTATACCTAATATAACTTGGTATAACAATATATGGATTAAGTTAGTACATGAATTAAATCTAAAAAAATAAAATTACTCTTTATCTTTTCATAAAAATCATCATCGATACCCTTTATATTCTATTTTTAGTATAAAGAACCAAACGTTCAATAAATTTTATTTTTTGCAGAACTAATTCTTGTATTATAATTATACATAAATTGATGCTCAACCGAGCTACCCTTAGGGGTCGTTTCGTACGAAGGATAAACAAATAATTCTGGGATAAAAATTTTGTACCCCCTTATACTTTGTTTGGTTACTAATCCTGGGATAAGTTATTCCAAAATAAAAAAATAGTACTGGATAATTCATGCCTACCAAAGGGTGGAATAATAATTACAGGATTAGTTATTCCAAGATAAAGCAGTAAAACTGATAATCACATGATTAATACAACACATCAAACAATCAATAAAAAATAATAATAATACATTAATCCTAACTTAATTAATTCCAATATAAATAATTTCAGCATAACTAATCTGAGCTAACTTATCTTCAAATCAAAATGACCCCCTTTGAGTTAGGATAAGCATGTAGAAGTTGAGCTCTATCTAAAAGGAGAGCCACTTGGGGCCCTTGTCAGTTCGCATAATATAATCTGTCTCTCTGTTGGAACTCTAGTGCTCTAAGCTTTAAGCTAACTTCCAAGCTGCTTTTTATTTATTTATTTTATCCCATAAGGTCTTTCCCTATCAATGCTCTCCAAGATAATATCATTGGATGGAACAAACAATAAACTTAAACAAATAGGGAAAAGTTTTACTGAAATTTTGGTCAAAAGACCCATCATTTTCTGTTTGAGATTCTCATCTTGTAGTGCTGTGTGATTGGCAAATAAAAAGACTTTCGGTGCATCTCCTTCACTCTGCTCAGTTCTCCACATACAAATCATCAACAGTAGTTTGAAACTTTTTCATTTTTCTTTTTTTTCATAAGAGGAGCTTAGATTTCTTATAATCCCAGCCACACCATCAAGGAGTATAATGGGATGGTTAGGATCCATCTATCCTTAATGGAGAACATCTTTAATAGACCTACACGTGTGTGCGAATCTAGATTAATCGAGCTTGTAAATTTTGATTATCATATGGTTTACAAAGAGAGAAGCAGTGCCAGCCACTACTTCCACTTCTCACAACTGGGGTAATATGGAAAAGAAACTTTGAGCAGAAATGAAGAAAGAATTCCATTAAAAGAGAGTCTGTAAAGAGACTAAAGACCCATATCTAATATCAATATATCATTAGGCTTTTGACAAACTGAAAAGTTCTAAAAGCATCATCCCCTTTTACAAGAGTTACTATTAAGTTTGGCGCATTCAAATAAAAAGTAGTGTATCAAAATATAGAAAAAGGGAACAGTAACCTGTCATTTGATTTTAATTATGAACAACAACAACTACTACTCCTCAATCAAGAATTTACCACAAATTAAAGGCAGAAAGAGTAGAAGATATAGACATTCTTCTTTCAATTAGATCTGGAGGTAGACATTAACAGAATTTGGGTGTCATTATTTTCTCTTGTAATTTGGTACTAAAGAAAGTAGACTAAAGAGTTTATAATACAATCTAATAAAATTCATCTTCTCTTTAAACAGGCCTACCCCTTTTGTGTGTAGCAGTTGAGTCCCCTTCAGATGAAACATCCATTGATTTATTGAAATTACCTGAAAGATGTGCATATAAGTCAACCACTCTCCTGATATTGTTGTTGAGTTCTCTAATTAAACCAACATTCCTGCTCAAATTGTCAGGAATTTTGGACTCATGGTTCTGATTAATCTCATTGATTAGCAGCCTATTCTGGTCCAATATGTTCTGAACTTGAACAAAACTCTTTTGAAATGTCTGCATAACTTTGCCATCTATCTCTCTACCACCATTAACTTCCATTTCTCTGTCTCTATGTTGGTGAAGAAAGAATCAGACCCCTTTCAAGGAAAAGGAGGAAAACACAAGACAATAATGAGGAAAAGTAGTAGAGACAATTTCTTGGAATTTTTATAATAGTTGTAAGGAAACTCCATCATATCTTCCCATGTGTACTTGGCTCTATAGTATTAAGGAAAAGGCAGAGACAAAACTAGATAAGGTATTTTAAATTGTTTAAAGACAAATTGTACATGAGAGAGAGACAACATCTGAACTTGAAATTATGACCACACCCCCTCCTCATAGGTTGTTCTTTGATCATGTAACAAACATGGAGTATACAATTATTAATTAATACCATTATTATTTACCTAATATTGTATGAGGTATAATGAGATGTCAAGAAAAGCAGACCCCATTTCCATAAAGAGAACCTTTTAGTGCGTACTCTATACCTAGCTAAATGCCCTAAAATCTGATGCTCCCTCTATTCCAATTTATGTGAACCTGTTTGACTGGGCACGAAGTTTAAGAAAAAAACTTTTGGAATTTGTGGTTTTAAACAAGTCAAAAAAGGGTCCAGAGTATTTGTGTGATTATAAAAGCTTCTCATTAAGGGTAGAAATGTAAGTTTAAGCTAAATTATGTTCCAAATTTAGAATGAAATCATTCTTTTTGGAACGGACCAAAAAGGAAATACGTTCATATAAACTGGAATAGAAGGAGTACTTTCAATTATGTAATATAGTTTGATTTGACAAGGGATTTAAGAAAGAAAATAGTTCTCCCTCCGTTCCAATTTATGTGACTGGAAATTTGTGGTCCTAAACAAGCCACAAAAGGGTTTAGAGTATTTGTGTGAGTATAAAAGCTTCTCATTAAGGATAGAATTGAAAGCTTAAGCTAAATTATTTCCAAATTTAGTAAGGGGTCATTCTTTTTTGAACGAACCAAAAAGGAAATAGGTTCACATAAACCGGAAAAGAGAGGGTAGGATTTAGATAAGTTATTCTCTTTGTCCTAATTTATGTAGCAGTGTTCGAATTTCGAGAATTTAATTTTTTTTTACTATGATTTTTTTCGTATGCCTTTTAAATATTTTAAATTGTTAATTATTGTAATTTATTGTACACATTTTGCATAATTTTCAAATATATAAATTTTATTTCAAAAAACGTAAAAGCTTTATATTCAAATTCACAATCAAAATTTTGAAGCTTGATTCTCGAAACATGCAAACCGTCATATAAAATTTGTTTGTTCATAAAAATTTCTCATTAAGAATAAAATAAAATGTGCAAAATTAAATTAAATTTGAAAAATAAAAGTGTGTTTAATAAGAAAATAGTATCACATAAATTAAAAGGGGAACTACTGGATTCACAGCTAACTAATGATATAATCGATGTGCGCACAAACTGTTCCAAAAATGTTATTAGTAAAAAGATGACAACTCAACTTTTTTCAGTTCAGATTTGGTTGTAACTCTCATATGAGTAGCCTTTCAATACAATTAATGGCTAAAATTAATGATAAAACAATTGAAGCCATCAATGACTGTCTCAACTCTTTTTGTCACCTATCAGGGCAATCCATCAACAAAGCTAAGTCCAAAATCATTATCTCCAAGCACTGCCCTGAGCCTACACAATCTATCCTCTCACAAACCCTTAAGATCAAAGTTAGTAGTTTTTTCAGAAAATACATAGGTTTTCTTGTTACAAGCTCCAAACCCAAGGCCAAAGATTTCCAATTTGTCCTTGACAACATGATTTCTAGACTCAGTACCTGGAATCAAATTTACTAAGCATGGCTGGTACCTTAGCAACCTCTTGTTTAAACTCTCTTCCAAATCACTTAATGCACTATACCCTTCTACCGGCTAAGATTCTAAGTAAACTTGACAAGATCCAACGGGATTTTATATGGAGTACTAATGGAACTTCAAAAAAACTTCATCTCATAAAATGGGACAATATCACTCAAAACAAAAAGGATGGTGGGTTAGGGCTTCATGCTGCAATAAAGAAAAACCTAGTAAGCCTGGCTAACCTAACTTGAAGACTCATCCACAATACCCAATCTCCCTGGGCTAAAATAATATTAGGTCTATATGGTGCAAGGAAAATACTAAAAAATAATTCCTTTATATGGAATAGTATTGCACTAGGCTGGGAAATATGTAGCAAATGGATTACTTGGCTGCCTCATAAGTCCTCAGCCTTGAGTGTGGGGAATAGTCGTTGGATTCACCAATCCAACTCTCTTCGTCAATATATTCAGGGTCCTTTAACCCTCCAGGATGAAACCTTTACCATAAAGAATATATGGAAACAAAACATTTGGGAGTTATCTCATCTATCAATGACCCTAGAACCCGGAATTATCAAGAAGATAAATGCTACACAACCCACAAACAAATCCCATGATACTCCGGTTTGATCATTGAACTCCAATGGTCTTTTCACTAGCAAATCATGCTACTCCCTCTTAGACAATCAGTTGGATTGCTACAAGGATTTCTCGTGGATTTGGGAATCTAATTGTCCAAACAAGATAAAATTTCTTTTGTAGAAAAGCTACCATAATAGACTTCCAACAAGAAGCTTCTTAAACCATATTGGCATTATCATAGATCCTATATGTTCTACTTGTAAAACTGATAAGGAAACTATTAATCATGTTTTCTTGGAATGCATGGCAGTTAAACAACTATGATCATACTTAGGAATTGATTCCAAAAGTCGGAATGGTGCTACAAATTGGCTTACTTATATTCGAGATCACAACTCTACTTTTAAAAACCCTATTATCACTTGGCATGACCTATTTCCCTTTGTCATTTGGACAATTTGGATTAACAGAAATAACAATTTATACAATAACTACACGCATTTGGCAAGTTTTAAAAGTGCTATTAACTTATCAGTAGAGTTCAAGCTTTTAACTGGAAAAGAAAATACTAGGCCGGAAAAAATTCCAATAAACGTTAACTGGAATAAACCCTCTAGAGGTCTCATCAAGCTCAATATTGGTGCCTCCTTCAATGAGGACCAATCACTCTATGGATTTGGTGGGGTGTTCAAAGACAACTATGGCCAATGGATAGTTGGCTTTCATGGAAACACCCCAGGAACTTCTGCACTTCAGGCAAAATTAATGGCCCTGAATATTGGTTTGAAAACTGCCATTAGGCAAGGATTTACAAAATTAGAAGTAGAAACAGACTCAACCGATGTTATTACCTGTTTGGATAATGGAATAATATTACTTGATGATATTATTAACGAGTGTAGGTTGTTAATGGGACAAGTGAAGATCCAGGGAGTACATCACATCTTCAGGGAGGCCAACAAGCCGGCACACATGCTCGCTAAAGAAGGGCTGAGTGGCAACAACAACATGGATCTTAATGTTATCTACTATGCACCTTATTTTGTAACCAATATCTTGAAATCAGACTATGAAGGAAAGACTTATGCCGTTAGGTTCTTTAACAAGGATGTTTGCTCTAGGCTAGCAGCTTTTGGTAACAAAAATATCCTAAGGGGCATGTTATTAGTTTGTAATAACCAAGTAGGTAATGCCCCTCCCGGCAACATGAACAACATTATCTCTACTATTTCGTGATATATATAATATGATCCCTGTTTGTCAAAAAAAAGAGTAGCCTTTCGATACACCATTTTCCAATCAAGAAATGCACAGAACTTTACCCCCACCCACTGCTCCTCCCTCCCCACAACGTCCTAAGGGGGAGCCTGAGGGGGTGGGAAGACAAGAACAGCTGCATAAGAAAACTTGAAAAGCTGGGTTGAAAAAAGAAAAGCAAAAAAAAAAAAAGGACAAAAACATTTCTATTATCAGAGAGAATTAAGAAATCGTTAAGCAGAGACAAGGAATTCAAAGTTGAAGACTTTACAGAGAAGTCTTTTTACAGTTGCAAAAGCATAAAATTCCCACAAAAAGTATAAAGAAAAAAGTAGATATCAGATAAACCCACGCCCAACACACAAGAAAAAAAAAAAAAGGAGAAAGAATTGTACTCAGAGTCTCAAGCTACATTAGAAATTCTCCCAAGAAAAAAGTCCAGTGTACCAAAAGTTAATAAATATCAATACTTTCAAGCTTATGACAGATTTAACTAATCTAAAATGTTGGAAACTCAGAAAACTTCCAAAAGTAAACCAGAATTATTTGTTTCTATTTGTAAGTTCTTTTCTCACAAGCCACCAAGAAAAAAGAAAACGTGTAAATACCAAATAATGGTGTTTAAAGAGACAAAAAGTTGTACTCCTATATAATTTAAATTTTCACGTACCTAGAACATAATATCTGAGAACAATATTGTGGTAGAGAGAGGCAAAGGAAAGAGATTGAAAAAGCAGAGATGAATAATGATCGGCGAGTGAAACGAATCTTCAGAGGGAGAGAGAGAGAATATGTAGATTTGACAGTCAGGTTTCGACCCACTCTCTTTTGTTTCCTGTCTAGATTTACTACTTCCCCTACTTATTTTGAAACACTTATATATAGTCAGAGACGCCGTTAATTTTTGTAATATTATCCGTGTTATTTAAATTTAAGTCAAGGGAGAGAGAATAAAGTTGATGAACATATTTTTTTTGGTCCGTTATAAAAAAAAAACCTTTTTTAAGAGCCCGTTTGGACATACAAAATTTTTGCTTTTTTCCAAAAAAAAAAATTGAAAACAATGTTTGATTATTCATATCTTACCAATTTTTCCAATTTCACTTGAAAATGCATTTTCAAATTTGAAAAACTGGTTCTTGCTAGTTTTTCAATTGAAAATGCATTTTCACTAGTTTTTAATTTTACAAATTTATCTTATACTTTTAAAATTTATAAAATGATCCCATCAATTATTAACCTACAACTACCTACGTGTTTCCCCTCGACTATCAGATGAAGCTACTGCAGCGGATAATGAACCATTTTCTTGTAACGACTACCATGTTGCTAAACAATAACATGTTTGATTGTTTATTCAAGTAGTATAATTAAATTGGGACGGTTTTGATATTTTTTTACAAATTATGGGGTATAAATCATATTTCATGGTTTTGCAAGAAAAGACATTCAAATATGTTGCAAAAACTATAACCAAACACAACTTCATCTTCAATTCAAATTTTAGTGAAATTTCAAATTTGAAAATTTATTTTGGGATTTATGGCCAAACGCCTATTAAATTTGGAAACAATTTAGTTTAAATTTTCAATTCTACCCTTAATGAGAAGCTTTTATAACCACACACTAGACCTATTTTAAGCATGTTTAGGATCACAAATTCCAAAAATCTTCATTTTTTCTTAAATTTCATGCTCAGTCAAATAGGTTCACGTAAATTGGAACGGAAGAAAGTAATAAATATCACCCTTTAGGACCAACACCAAATACAAGAAATGTTGTAAGTTTTACGCACTAATATTATTCTGCCACGTTATTTTCTCTTTTAATGTTATTTTTATTATTTTCCTTTATTCACTATTTCTTTTTGATTTTTCATAATATTCTCTTTCTCTTCTCCTCCGAAGGCCTCTACATTTCCCAACGGACGACGAGTCTCACCCTGTTCGCCTTCCGGTCAGAGTCTTTCGAATTAGAGAGCTTGAGAGAGTTTTGTTGATGGGTCACTATTGAGTTTTTATGGGGCATAAAATAGTTGCTGCGTTAGAAGAAAGGTGGTACCACTTTCATGGCCGAAGGTTTATATGACTGAACAAAAAACATCCTTATGGTTTGTTTGATATGAGGTATAAGAAGGTATAGAGGTGATATAAAAATTTAATACCATCTTAATACTATGTTTCGTTAGCAAACTATGTATAAGTTATCCCGGTGTTAATTTTAACACCGGGATAACTTATACCTTATAGAGGATGGGGTAATTAGCACCGGTATAACTTATACTTTCTTCTTAAAAATTATGCAATTGTCATTCTTAATACAACATATCAAACAGTGAATAAACAACAATTTCAGCATAACTTATCCCAACAAAATTATACAGGCATAACTTATACCGGCATAATCCGTATTCCAACCAAACGACCCCTTAATGTTTGTGAAAATGGGCAAATACATTCTACCTTTAGTCAAAGTCTCAAAACTAACGACAGACCATAAAATCCATTTTCTTCCCCCAAATTTTTTATATAGTACATATTGCTTGGAGATTATATGGATGGTTATTTAGGTTGCTTTCTTGTTAGATAAAATCCTAAATTAGAAACCAAAAAGAAAGATGAAAAAAGTAAAAGAAGGGTACCTAGTTCATGAAGAAATTTTTTGCAGTGTTTAGTGTCTCTTTCTACACATTATCCATTTTTGTAGAAGACAATACAATACAGAGAGAATCATTGAGCACCTACAAATAGCCTATTTGCTAATGATTGAGTTGAGATGGGCCATTTAAGTATGCTCGTAACACAGGTTGAATCCAGTTGTAGTTATAAAATGAATGGTGAAGTTTTCAAAAAAATATTGCGCGTGATAAGCACTTGAAAGAAGAATGCTTTGTTTGTTCTTGATTAGGAAGCTAACTGAAGTGAATTCCTGGCAAAAATCATAGGAAAAATGATACTATATAGTCGCTCTCAAAATAATAATCGAAAAATATATATTTTTTGTATATATATACATTCGGTATGTTATATACAAATATCACAAGAATTTTATACACATTTTCGACTATCGAATATAAATAGTTTCTGACGTGAGCTAAAAGTGATAATACCCCAAAATCATACGGGATATGGAAGAGAAGTACGATACTTTATTGAAATCTCTTAATCATGAGAGTTCTAAGAGCTTAGATGCGAAGAAGGGGTTTTTACCTAGCTATACTATAATATAAACCTATTTACCATTTTTATTTAGGTTCCTTATTAATTACTTTGTATATCTATATTTACTAGTTATATACACAATCATAAAAAAAAAATAAAAAAAAAATCAAGATCCCTTAAATCTAGCCTACCAGTTACATGACACTCATGCTCCATTTCCAATAATTCCTCATACATTTAAGATTCTTTCATTTTCCAAAAGATTATAAAAACATCTTCTCTCTTTCTTAACAATTATCCAAAATTAATTTTACCCACAGTAAGAAATTTCGTTTACCTATTGTTATCCAAAATCTTGCTTACCCATTTTTATCCTCCCCTCCCTCCCC